TAACAGGAGCTGTCCACTACCGCGGTGCTGAAACAATCGATGTCAGGCACATCGATCACCCACCACTTAATCAGCGCATAAGTCAACCATAGCGCTGCTACCTTGCGCACTAATTCCCTGCTGTTGTATATGTGTGTTCTAATAATTCTAATGAAAAACTAAGACGATAAATATTTGTTAATGACCTATTTTCATGATGAAAACAAGACTACAACTAAATAAGAAGTAGTCTTGGTAAGAGAATCATGAGGAAATGTATTATATTTAAACAAAAAAACACAGACGCCTTGCTGAGGCCGGTGCCGTCTCCCACCACCTCCAGGAAGCTCCCCACTGTGTAAAAACGCAGCGCAGCCAGGCACTGCACCTCCGAGCTGAGGGCAAATTGCGCCGGGTTGCCCTCCGGATGTGTGAAGACACTAGTTGATGAGGCGTTGTATCTCAGCCGGTACTTCATTTGGACAGCCCGGTCTGACAGCACGTCAAGTGGGCTGAAGTGCTGTCGCACAAATGCATTTACATATATGGTTTGGCTTCGTATATAGCGATGCTGTTGGTTAGCAGCAAGAATATGCTGTAAAGCAGCCATGGTATCTCACACATGTGTGATGTGGCAACGGCTTTATATAGAGTAGCGGGTGGAGCGTCCCTTGATGAGGTTCCAGCTGAGCTCAATTACAGCTGTCAGTTGCCTGATATCTGAATGTCGCAGGTTTGGAGGGTAGATGTGTTTCTGTTGTGCACTGAAGCATTTTTTGGATGCAGTAAACTATCTCATATGTGAATGCAGATGTGGGATATGTGCGGACAAATTATGATAAGTGATAGTCATGATGATCCATTTTATTTGTGTGCCTGATGTGGAGAGCACATACAGGAACACACTTTTTATTCCTCATACTTACTTTTCATCTTATTATTATTTTTCTTCTGCCAGATTTCGGTGTGTAACTTGTGCCACAGCTTTGAGCGCACATAGGGTCTTCATAAAACATATAGATTCAAGATTCAAAGTGTTTATTGTCATATGCACAGTAAGGACATGCATTTCCCTGCAGAATGAAATTTGTTCTTTTCTGTCACCAATTAATGCTAAACAATATAAATCTGAAGTATAAAATAGATCAAAATATATAAGGTGCGCACTGTTGTAATATCTCCTTGCTTAATGTAATATTAATTTGCCTGACGCGGCAGGATCTGTGAGCATTTGGTTGCTAAGAAGACTGTTAAGAGTGAGTCAGCTCGATCTTACAACTCCTTCTTAGTGAAAGATCTTCTTAAGCTAAGAGCGATCTGGGAAATGTGTTTTTTTTAAGAGTGTTCTTAAGAAGCTCTTAGTGCTAAGAGCCATCTGGGAAATGCCGCCAATATAAGTATACTTGAGTAAAGCCTTAACATGCAAATACATTGAATTTGATTGTAGCTGGGAATGAGTCTGCCTAGTTAGTTAGCTAGCTAGCTTCTGTGGTTAAAAAAAAAAAGGCAGGCACTGATCAAAATAATTCTGCTAGCTAAACTAGAAGACAGTCTGGAACATACATGAGCTGAAGTCAGTTGAATGATTGAACAGTGCATGTTCTAGGGATTTCAGCTTGGTAATTTGTGTGAAGTAGGACTATAGCTGAATTAATGGTTATAGCAAAGTAGCCTAGTTCAACACTGTGCCACCGGTATCAAACAGGCTTGAGAGCTAATAGCTGGCATGTAAATATGGATGTGTTATTACTGATTTCAAAGCAAGTTTCAGTATAAGAAGTATAGTTGGCCTACTGAAATATTGTAAGTAAATACATTTTTAATGATCATCCTCATTACTGTTATTATGTTGGAAATAAACCATCTTTTTGCACCCTTTATCTCACTCCGTCTGCATAATTTGACCATGACTTTGACCTAAATGCATTTTATTGAATTCTGGTGATATCAAAAGTATCAATAACTGAATGGGCACCCTAAAATTAGTTGGAAATGACACCTTAAATGTTTTTCTACTGTGTTTGGTTCCAAAGTTAAGCATATTTGAATATTGTTGGCGGCCATCTTGAATTTGACCTCTCACAGGCCTCAGAAGTCAAATCTGACTTCCCTCCACATCTGAAAATAAACCTTATGGTATGTACTAACTATGGTAGAAATTTCATGCTTTTTTCAAAAAGTGCACAATTTATCTGCTAATCCGCTGTACTAAAACTGGGTTAAAGCTCTTTATAGTGCTCAATTTTCCTCTGTTAAAATGAATGGCTTACTTTCAAGACCCTTCCCCCTACAAAGAGGTGTGAGGCAGGGTTGTCCGGTCAGTCCTCTGCTTTTTACTGTCGCTCTTGAACCATTAGCATATGCAATATGCTCTAGTAGTGACATATATGGTGTGGATATCCCTGGACATAATTTTAAGTTAAATGCTGATGATATATTGCTCACTTTAAGCAAACCAGCATCTTCCATATCTGCAGTTCTCGATTTGGTTAACTTATTAAGCAATTTTTCTGGTTACAAGATTAATTGGAACAAGAGTGAGGCAAATCAACCCTTGCACATTTAAATCAGCCTTAATGGGCACCCCTTTCATCTGGAAAACAAATGGAATGAAATATCTGGGTATTAACATAATTTCACCTATTACCAAAATCTTTAGTCTAAATGGCCCCAGCATCCTCCAGCATCAAGTAGGGCTGTAGTCAACCAAAGAAAATCTTGGTCGACTAAAGTCGTACATAATCTTCAACTAATCGATTAGTCGTGGAAAAAAAAATAGAAGAAGAAGTTATTTTTACTTCTGCGGTGGTGTGTCTGAGTCACTCTGCAGTTACACCTCCAAAACACTAGTTGGTGATGGAGGACTCTGTTAAATGCTGTAAAGATTTGTTGATTCAAAACACACATTAAATATGGCTTAATAGAGACAATTTCAAACACAAGTACACAAATTGGCTTCAATATAAATCACAGCATTCACAGACAAACACTTGTCTTTATCTGGACACATTACCCCCACCAATACAACATGCTAACGTTATTAGCACAAGTCTATAGCATTTTACATTGTATAAATTAGCCTAGCGTCTAGCAATCTTTTCCTCTTCTCATATAAAACCAGGGACAACAGCAACATGTAACAAAGGTAACGACACACAATGTGGCTCCATTACAACTCACAACATTCACCGACAAAACAACCGTCACACTAGACACGTTTTCCAAACAAATACAACATGCTAACGTTATTAGTGCCAGCCTATGACATTTTAAATTGTATACATTAGCCTAGCGACGAGCAGAGATTTCCTCTGTTAGTATGAAGCCAGGAAAAATCTCACACACAAGACTTAAAATGCTATTTTAGTGCAGGCTTTACTGTCTTCACAATTTATTGTTTCTTATCTGTAAAATACAAGTAAATACAAGCTTCGTTTCCACTGAGGGAAATGGTGTCAGTATACAGAAACTGACAGGAGGTCTGCGTCACCGCGACGCTGAGCGTCAGGGTGGGCAGGTTCAACTTTCTGTCAACAACTGGGGTGTTTTGAAAACACCCCCATTTTCACAGGTAACATAGCCTGTCCCTTCCTCTGCAGTAAATAATGCATTAATCCTGGAAAGCTATTGATGTAGCAATTTTCTCCTTATGAAAGTAACACAACGATTATTCGATCAATGAGAATCTGGTCGGACGAGAGTATATCGACCAAATAATCGACTAGTCGACCAGGAGACTACAGCCCTACTATCAAGGATGACATCATCGGATGGACAGCCTTACCACTGTCTCTATGGGGCAGAGTTGAAGTACTGAAAATAAATGTCTTACCTAGACTGATTCATATTATCACATCTATCTATTCCTCTTCAATTTCCTCAAAGTTGGTTTAGAGACATCAAATCTCTTTTTATCCGATTCCTTTGGAATAATAAAAAACCCAGAATTGCTTTCAAGAATTTAATAATACCAAGATCAAGGGGGGGTCTGGGTGTCCCAGATATATATCAGTACTATCTTTCATATAATGCAAGGTACCCACTAACTTGGGCTTATAAATATGATGTCCCAGTAGGCAGTTGGGAATGGCTGGAGAAAACTATTCCGTCTTGGGTAACACTTTATATTAAAGTACTGTAATAAGCGCTAATTAATGCTTAATAAGCACAAATTAAAAGTTAATGAACACTTATAAGATGCTTATTAACATTATTAAGACTAGACTAAGTGTTTATTACAGCATAACTGACTGCTTATAGGAGCATTATAGGCACTTAATAGAAACTTTGTTAACAGTTTATAAACCTATACTAAATATTAATAAGATGTCTATAATGTCTAATTATAATTTATAAGGGTTAATTATAGAATAATAACCACATTTATTACTGGTTTAAGACACTATAAGATCCTGTAAGATGAAACTACTAAGGTGTTTATTAACATTAATGATACTATAAGAAGTTAATATAAATGCCATATTATGGTTAATAAATGCTTAATTATGCACTTATTAATAGTAAATAATGATCCTTTGCAGCTACCGGATCTAAAGTGGGAACAGTGTCGTATAAACGTTAATAAATTATTAATATGCACTTATTAACAGCTCATAATGCATCGTTGCAGCTACTGGATCTGAAGTGGGAACAGTGTCTTGTTGATATTCATAAACTCTTTATTATGCACTCACTGAAGTTAATAATTCTATTCATTATGCACCTATTGCAACATCCAGATATCAATCATTATTTCAACATTAAAGAATTCTGATGCGGTTTTTATTTTTCACTCCAGTATGTTATTATTTTCTTTAGCAAAGAATCATGGAAATCTCATTTCCTCAAAATGGCATACTAAGACAAATGTTATTTGAACTTAAACATTTAAGCAGATTGATTCAGAGTTAGCTGCTTTATTCACTCTTGATAAGAATTCAACCTACCAATGGTGGTGAAAACACAACATAAGGACATATTTCCTTTTCATATTAATTTTTAATGCAACCACTATTGTCAAAAACAGGAAAAAAGGATTGGAAACCCTAATAGTTGAGTTCTAAAAAAATGACAGATCTCAATTCATTTGGCTTTTTCAAAAGTTTTGTTACTTAGATTGACCGTTCGGGAATACAGTTTTACACAAAGCTCCCTGTAACCCATCAGTTTTCTGAAAGTGAGTGACAAAAGTCTCAACATTGGCCAGGCCAAAGGTGGCCAGGTCAGTGATGTCTTCAGGCTAGTTGCTTAGGTCAAACATGGTGGCAGCGGCCTTCAAGACACCCATATCAAGATTGACAAACCGCATGGTGAGGTTGTCACAGAAGCCATTGATTAGTTTATATTTCACTTTGTGGAAGTCATCATCATCCACTTGTTTCCTGCTGAGTTTTACACCAGAGAAGGTGTTTCCGGGAAAAGGTCCCACTTCATCCAGGAACTGCTTCAGATGCTGACCTGGGACTGTCTGAAATACAGATGAAAAAAACTTTGACTGTCACGATTGTTAAATGTAGCCCAGGCTATAAGATGACATCCCTCTAATATCATAATGATCCTTTTAAAACAATTCAACTTAATTGGGAAATAAACAATTCATTGAGAAGTCATTAAAATCCTTGAAACAATTCATTTTATTTTGAAACAAATAAATACATCATTTCATGTTGATTATATGCACTTAAAATGTTAAAACTGTTGATCTAAAAGTAACATTTGGAGTAAACGACATTCAATTGAGTCATATATATATATATATAATCTGTCAAAAGTTGTTTCTAAAAGTCTGTTTAAACTGAAGAAGTGATGTGCATAAAGGAAGAAAAAAATTGTTGCGCATAAACCAGCATTATGTGTCTTTCAAGTTGCTGCAGAGGATTAATTCCTCTTTAAAGGTATAATATGTAGTTTTTCCACATAAAAATGTCTAAAAACGACTAAACCAATATTATATATTTTGTTTAGTTGTGTACTTTGATTATCAACAGAAAAATCAAATAGCTCGCACACTGCAGGGCTCCAATTCTCAGTCGTAATTTATTCAGGTGAGTAACGTTTCGAGCGTCAGGCTCTTCATCAGACTTTTTTAAGACAAAGGGTGCCGCCATCTTAAATACACACATGACGTGGTCACATGATGCAATGATACGTTACCGGCCCAGAGAAAAAGGAGGAAAAACAATGACCTCCTGTCAGAAATGTCCGACATAGTATAGATAACACATAGAATCAACATGCAAAAAAATCGACATGCGAAAAACAGAAGACAAGATGATAAGTATGTGTGCCAGCGTGTACACACAGACACACACAACTCCTGTCTGTGAATGCACAATGGAACATACATATATCAGCAGACCCACACATACGACAACAATAGTGTGTGGACACCAGTACTGTACAACAAGAAATACATTACATACAAAAACTACTTAGAGCATCAGTGTGATTATATACATAACACCACGTACAATGATGCCGCTGGAAAAATGTTTTAAGATAACTCTCTTCTAAGGCATATCAGAGTCAGACATCTGTACCAGACATCAGGCTGTCAAGCCGTCATAAAGGACAGAAAAATGACAGAAAAATCAACCACCTTAACAGAGGGGCCCCTTTATGTACAACAGTAAACAACGACATATATTTTAAACACACCCTTACAGAATGTCAGGTAAAGAATGGCAACAAGGAGCAAAACAACTAAACACTTGTACCAGAGACCATCACAAATAGATCACATCACAAAAAAGGTCGAATGTCCATCTCCTCGTTAAGGCCCTTGGGCAACATAGTATCTAAGGTGTAAATCCAAAATAGTTCACGTCTCAAGAGTGACGTGTTCAATCCCAATGTAACTCAGGGAGGGCACGGTGTGGTTCAAAAGGTTAAAATGGGTGGCCACCGGGCTCCTTTGATCATGGTTTCTGATGGCACATCTGTGTTCAGAGATTCTGTTTTTGAGAGGTCTCGAGGTTTTACCTATATATGCAAGGCCACAAGGACATTTCAACATGTATATTACATTTGACGTTTTAAAAGAGATAATACCTTTAACAAAAAACTTTTTGCCAGTACGTGGATGATGGAAGATATTAGTCTTTCTGGTAAAGTTACATTGTTGGCAGTGGCCGCACTTGTAGTTTCCAGGTGGCACGGGACCCAGAAACATAGGAGTGAGAGGAGGACTAGGGCAGTCTGCTCTCACTAACAAGTTTTTGAGGTTAGGCGGTCTTTTAAAAACAATGCGGGGTGGATTGTCCATCAGTCCTGTCAAGGCTGGATTGGTGGCCACCACATGCCAGTGTTTATTGATGATGGCCGACATGTCCTTCGCCATGGGGGAGTATTGGAAGGCCCAAGTAATACGGTTATCAACAGTTTTCTTTTTGGTGGTGTACAGGCACTCAGTCTGTGTGCGATTAGAAAAACGCTCTGAAGCTTGACTCACCCACTCTCTCTGGTAGCCTCTTTGTAGAAATCGGTGTTCCAGGTCCATCTTTTGTTTGGTGAACTCAGCATCTGGACTGCATATACGGCGTATATGGTTAAGCTTGGCCACAGGAAGGCTCCTTTTCAGAGGAGTTGGGTGGTATGATTGTCCATGTAACAGAGAATTTCTATCAGTGGACTTTCTGTACAGAGTAGTGCTGAGGCCATCAATGTTGTAGGAAATCAAAATGTCTAAAAAGTTCATCTTGTGGGGGTCATGTGCCATGGTGAATTTCAAATGGGTGTTGTGTGTGTTGATAAAGTTGTGAAATTCCATCAGATGTTCCTCTGTGGAGGTCCATATGAAGAAAACGTTGTCTATGTACCTTCTGTATGTGGAGATATATGGCAGGAACAGGTTCATGGAGGGATTCAATACCACCTTGTGCTCAAACAGGCCCTGTTTCCTGTTTTTTAAGAAGGAACCATTCAGCTGCGCTCAGCCCGCCTTGTATAGGCACACTAGTGTAGAGGGCTTCCACGTCCATAGTGACCAGAAATGATTGATTGTGGTTAGGGTTCGGTTGGACAGTTTTTATCAATTTAATGAACTCGATGAAGTCTTTAATATAGGAGGGCAGAGCTGTAACACAAGGCTGAAGAAACTAGTCCACAAAAGCAGATATTTTCTCTGTCAGAGAACCAATAGCAGCCACAATGGGTCTGCCTGGAGGAGTGTCGTTGTATGTTTTGTGTATTTTGGGTAGAGTGTAAAAGACTGGTATTACTGGTGAAGTGACCAGCATGAAGGAGTGTTCATGTTTGGTGATTTCACCTTGGGCTAGAAGGTCATGGAGGACACCGTGGACCTTAGATTTAAAATCTGTGGTGGGATTACCAGGAAGTCTCTGATAGAAGGAGGCATTGTTCAGTTGCGTCATAAATTCCTGGTTGTAGGCCTATCTGTCCAGAATCACTAGAGCACCCCCTTTGTCCGCGCTTTGAACTACTATGGACGTGTCATTTTTTAAAATGTCCAATTCTGTGCGTTGTAGTGTTGTCAGGTTGTGTTTCACTTTATATTCTCTCTTCCGTCCCAGTAATTTAGAAATGTCACGTTCCACCAATCTGCAGTATGTATCTATAGCAGAGTTCCTGTGTTTCGGGGGAATGAAGGTGGATTTACCTCTGAAGTAGAGGTGCGCTGGGTGGTGTTCAGGTCGTCCCTAGTCCCTGTGCCGCTGGTGGGGGCCGCCCCGTGGGTGTCTTGAATGCTGACCACATGGGGAGAGTTCTCCCTCTGCTTGTCTTGGAAGAATTCTTTGAGGTGTAGGATGCGGAAAAACTTCTGGAAGTCAATAAACACATCAAAATCTTTACAATGGGTGGTGGGACAGAACGATAGGCCCTTGTTCAGAGCAGAAATGCAAGTGTCTGAGATGGGCTTACTGGAGAGATTGATGACATTCACTTCCTCCACCTCTGGCGTGTGTTGTAGGGTTCTCTGAGGATGATGGGTTGATAAAAAAAGCTCACGCTGTGAGGAGCTGGACCCTGAGTCCACATCCAGAGAGGAGGTGGAAGCAGCCGGGCTGTAATGTCTGTGCCGTTTTCTCCTCGGCGGCGGTCTGTGGGGCCCGTCATCATGTGTGGTGTCTGTGTCGTGTTTCCACTTATAGATCTTTCCCTGCTCATAGTCTCTAGTGTCACGGTCAAACTTTTTCTTTTTGAATTCAGTTAGTTCTTGTTGTAGCTGTACTTTTTTATGTTCACATTGCTGTAGAAGTTGCGCCATGTCCTCTTTGTCAGGAGACTTAGACAAAAGTTGACGTTTGAGTTCACTTACTTCGTCTCTGGTCTTTTTCAGCTGGGAGGACAGCTCCTGGATTGTCAGCGCCATGAGGTCGAAGGAGCATTTATCTAAAATTTCACACCAGCGGCTGATGAATGTGTCATTGTCTGTGCCTATTATTGGGCTCTTGACAAGTCGTAGTCCCTGAGGAATTCTTTTTACTCTCATGTAATCACTGAGAGTGACGGCATGCAAAAACTGGCGTACTTCTTTATCTTGTAACTTGTACAGCGTGTGAATACCGTCCTGGTCAGCAGACCTTGTCGTGACACCATTAAAAAGTGAGTCTTCTAAAATGATACAGGAGTAGTCCTACTTGGTAAATTCAAAAGTTTTGGATATATCTTCCATAGCTGTCGTCATGTTGAAAGTAGATCCACTTACACATCTGTTTTTCACATATCTATTTTTTTGCATGTTGATTCTATGTGTTATCTATACTATGTCAGACATCTCTGACAGGAGGTCATTGTTTTTCCTCCTTTTTCTCTGGGCCGGTTATGTATCATTGCATCATGTGACCACGTCATGTGTGTATTTAAGACGGCGGCACCCTTTGTCTTAAAAAAGTCTGATGAAGAGCCTGACGCTCAAAACGTCACTCACCTGAATAAATTACGACTGAGCACTGGAGCCCTGCAGTGTGCGAGCTGTTTGATTTTTCTGTTGTTTGCATCGTTTTCGGCTCAGCACCTGCCCTTCTTCCGGTTTGGATGTGCGTGTGTTTTTCTTTGTTTGTACTTTGATTATCAGAAATGTTTCCAAAAATTTTTTCAAACCCAGATAAATATGAAATATTAATAAAAGTTACGGACCGTGTCATTAGGTCGCATGTCAATGGCGACGTAACTCCAGTGACCATAGCCATTAAATGAAGGAGAAGAAGAAGAAGCAGACCGGATGAGACTTCAGAGAATGAACGTTACTGTTGCTAGGCTAAGCTAACTCATCATGGATCATGATTATGCATTGACAGTTGCTGCAACTTCTGACACAGAAGCTGTCCCAGTAAACAAGCCGGTAAAACAGAAATGTACGGGTCAACCAAGCGATCCCAGAAGAATTTGGGATAAGAAGAGAGCTATATCAAGGATAAATATTGGTGTGGCCTTTCCGAGATGGAGAGAGCTTCGTGAAAATCTAGGACTACAATTCGACGCCGCCCTCGCGTGTGTTCTACTAGACAGATAAGCAAACATCTGGCTGATGTTATCAAAATATTAATCATTTCCACCAGTGTATTGCAAGCACTGCTGCCCGCTGGGGCACCAGCACTCCGGCCAGCGGCAGATCTGTATATGTTATGTGACTACAACTCCCATGATCCCATGCTACTTTGTGACATCATCCAACTCCGTCTTCTGTTATTGTTTTGGTTTGAGACCCCTAGCGGCAGAAAATTACATATTGCACGTTTAAGTGTACCTGGCTCCGTTTGACAGGCTTCCCAACTAGCCAATCAGTGAGCCCCGTGAGCCTTAATTGATCAGTTCCTTAGTGCAGGTTCCTGTCACATCAGTATGACAACTTCCTGTTGTACGGAAATGAATCCCGCGCTGGCGAGTGTGACGTTTTTCCGATACACAGAGAGACTGAATCTATTATCATCTGGCAGGTAAAAGATGAAAATGACCTTCTGAACAAAGTTGTATCAATTCTTGATGATGTTAAACAGTTGCTGATCGCTATACTGTTACATTTAAACCTTGCAGAGCAGCGTGAGAGACCAGGTGATTTTCGCTGATCTGCCAAGGTGAAATGCTGTAAACCTCATTCATACATTGACTCAGCCGTGAGTGAAAACACTGTAAACCTGTTAGGTTGACTCTAAGGCAGCTGACATTCATGTTAGGTTGACTGTAAAGCAGCCGATACGTTAAAAGGTGCTAATGATGCTAGCTACCTGATACTGTGTTTTGTGATGCTAAAGGCCTGTTAGCTTGGGCCTAGCCACTTAGCTGGCATAATTATTTGGTGTTCTGTGAAAACTATAGAGACACTGACTATTTTGGTTATTTGTTACAAAGGAAGATGTTATTTTTCTAAACTACTGGTTACTGCAGATGTCAAAAAAATATGATTGTGAGACTATTTGATTTATTCATGTTTATTTCATGTTAATGGTAATTAAAGAGGGTAATATTTAGTGCATTTTCTCACTGTTGCCGGTGCAGGGAGAGATAGCTAAGCATGTTGAGCCTTAATGCCTCTTAAGTTACCATGAATGTTCAGTGCACTTAATGCAGTTTTGACCAAATTAAAGGGTACGTCATGATATTTTTATTTTGTTGTAAAATGATCTTGTGTTAATTACTAGTGTAACCACAGGACTTTGAATGCTTGAACATGAAAGAAGCACTTTGAATGTACAGTCAGGTCCATAATTATTTGGACAATGATACAGTTGTCATCATTTTGGCTCTGTACACCACCACAATGGGTTTTAAATTAAACAATGAATACCTGCTTAAAGTGCAGACTCTCAGCTTTCATTTAAGGCTTTTTTCAAAAATGTAGTATGAACCGTGTAGGAATGACAACCATTTCTTCACACAGTCCCCCGACTTTAAGGGCTCATACATATTTGGACAAACTAACATAATCATCAATTAAACAGTCAGTTTTAATACTTGGTTGCAAATCCTTTACAATCAATGACTGCCTGAAGTGTTGGACACATAGGCATCATCAGATGCTGGGTTTCTTCCCTGGTGATGCTCTGCCAGCCCTTTACTGCAGCCGTCTGCACTTCCTGCTTGTGTTTTGGGTGTTTTGCCCTCAGTTTTGGCTTCAGCAAGAGAAACGCATGCTCAGTTGGATTCAGGTCAGATGATATAACTTGGCCATTGCAGAACATTCCACTTCTTTGCCTTAAAAATGTCTTTGGTTGCTTTTGCAGTATGCTTCAGGTCAATGTCCATCTGCACTGTGAAGCATCGTCCAATGAGTTTTGAAGCATTTGGTTGAATCTAGTGCAGATAATTCATTGTTTCATTTAAAACCCATTGTGGTGGTGTACAGAGCCAAAATGACAACAACTGTATCATTGTCCAAATAATTATGGACCTGACTGTATTTATAGTTTCACAACTGCAAATGAACACTTGAACTAAAGGCATATTTTTGTTGTAAAACTAAACCTTTTTGGAGAACATGATTATTTGAACTGATTAAAACAAAACAGAGTGTATTTAATTGGTGATAATACATGGAAAGTTAGAAAATGAACATGATTTATTAGGGATGTCCCGATCCAGCTTTTTCACTTCCGATCCAATACTGATATTACAGCCTTAAGTTTTGGCCGATACCGATACCGATCCGATCCAAGCGCGTATTATACATATTATACTGTTTATTGTTAACAGGGTTAAATAAACAAACTTTAAATTTGAACATTAACATTAAATAAAAAATATAACTGGTTTGCTTTGGCTGCTTTGGCCCCTTAATAAATAGAAAATAAATCAACACAAGAAATCTTTAAAATGTCTAACATTGAAATTAAAATAGCAGCAAGACTCCACACACTTGTGCTTTGGCCCCCTAATAAATAAAAAATAGATTAACACCACAAAACATTGTTGACATTGAACAAACAATGCAGCCTTTCCTTTTCAGTTATTTTAGTAGCGTCAGTGCCAGCCTGGTGCTGCTGTTTCCTGGGACCAACAGAGGGGACAAAAAAACCACACACAATATTGTACAACTGTTTAAACAAGCAATAGTCCATCCATGGCTCCAATTTCACTAATTGTGCCCAAAACAATGCTATCACTGCTCAATCAGTACTTAAACAGTAAAAATATCATTCTCAAAAAACCAGAGCAGAAAACAAATAGTCAGTTAACTAAATTGACCGCTACTCTTCCTACCCTTCCCTCCATGTGTGTCTACCGTCTGCATGCTGGCCTGGTGGATTGATAGTAAGTGCTGGAGCGGATCACTGGAATGGACTGCTTGAATCACGGAGCGCTGGGCTGGCCGGAAAACCTGGATCGAACTCCATGAAAAACTGGATTGGAGTTCTGGGATCTGCATTTTTCCATGCAGTCCGATCTGATGCAGATGCACAGTTTTTGCTAATATCGGGGGCCGATACCGATCCGAATATCAGATCGGGACATCCCTATGATTTATACAGACAATGTATGAATGTAACAAGCCACTTGGATCTCATCTGACCTGCCTATAGGTCAGATTTTTTGGTGACACCATTAAAAGGTTGTCGCTGCCACATCGCACCTGGACGTTGTTGACACATGCCAGTGACGTCGGGAGAATCTCAACGCTGATTGGCTTTCGCGGCACAGTGTCACGCAAATTCGCCTCAAAAGTTCAATATTTTCAACTCGAGCGATGAGGCGTTGGACGCGAATTTCGCGTCTATCGCGCCACGCTAGACGCCTCTATCACATCCATCGCGTTCATCGCGTCGCGCTAGACAGGTCCATCGCGCCGCCCGGCGCGATTTTGTGTCTAATCGCGTCTTTGCATTGACTATGTATGTAATCTTGACGCGCGAATTTGCGTTTGGTGGAAACACAGCATTACAGTAAAAGCTTAGTGTCTTCTGATTCTGGTCCAGCTATTACTATTGACTATTACCTACCTGTGCTCTATTACTGCGTCGTAACAAAGGGTTACATATACATACACCGTAGCATATTAATTCCTCTCTAAGGGAGTTTATTTTGTTTACCTGCATGGCTACAAGAGCCAGGGTCGTCTTCTGCAGTCCATCTGACACCATCTGCAATGTCAGTCCATCCCTCTGAAAGAGAAGGTTCAGAATTAAACCCATAAACACATTTAATCCAACTTCCCTTGTTTTTAATCCACAGCCTAGTACCGCATTACTATCTCAAATGGTTTCATAAGAGTGTTAATAAAACACTCACACACTGGGCCTGACACTTCAATTGCCAAAATGTATGAAATGCTCCTTTAACCTTACTGACAGAGAGGAATGAAGTCAGGCTATGGCGTTAGCAAATCAGCAGGAGTTAGCATTAACATGATGCAGCCTATATCCATTAGCCTGCTCAACATAACACACAGCTCATCAATGCTCCTAACACATTCACTCTGCTCATCCTGCTTCACACATTTACTGTCACTCTTGTATCTCAACCATATGCATCTTCACACACATTTCACTCACTTTAACTCACACAGAAGGTCATTAGCGACGCACTTAGCTAACGTTACCGAAGCTATTTCTAGTGGCACCCTCCACGAGCCGCGACACACACACACACACACACACACACACAAACTCTTAATCACGGTCAAAGTCTCTGAGTGTCACAGTTACACACTAAGGTTCTGCTAAAACATACTACTGTTATCTGGGTGTTCATTATACTCAGCTTACCTGTAGGAAATTTAGAAACATGATTGGCCACTAGTTCAAGCGTGACCTTCATCTCTGTAGCTAAAGTTGCTAGCCTAATTATTACTGACTGAATGAAGTACACCTCTTCTGATTAATTAACGTTACCGTCATTATCATAAACATCAAAATTTAGAACACACAGTCACATTTTATAACTTTGGAAGGCCATCGTGTAACGTTACATGATTAGCTGAGTTGCTAGTGTTAGCTATCGCAAAGAACTAGAACTAACGTTAGCTAAAAATCAACAAGCTGACGTTAGCCTATAGCCTACTTTAACAAACTAACTTACCACAGGGGCAGAAACAGATGAAACATCGTCTTCAGAGTCCCGACGCCAAGTGTCGCATCCTACTCCAACTGGAGCGGCACTGGAGGAGCTTGCATCAGTTGTTTCAACCATCTCAGCATTGCTAGGTTCTGTGCTCTGATGTGGAGTGGCGAGCATAGCTGGCGAGTGGCACCCAGCGTGACCGTCATGCAGTGAGTTGAGTTCCGTGTGTATGCATGCGTGCACGTGTGGAGCCAGATCAGATGCAGCAAAATCCACTGTATTTTTGCTGTTTTTACTTATTCAAGCGACAAAAGCGACATCTAGATATCCATACGTAATGATGTTGTAAATAACACCCATTTCGATAATGCTTTGACTTTTTTTTTTTTTTTTTTGCTGTCCCGGAATTTCCCAAACACATCATCTTTGTGTCCCAGTAGCAATTTTTATACGTTAGTCCCCGGGATGTCGGGACACCGTTAGTTTCAAGTCTAGGCTTTGCTGTGTTAGGATTATGTTATGTCTTCACTGTGTATCTTCACATAAAAGAATACTCCGACGATTTGGGAGGTACGCCCTTTCTCTATCATTTTCATATTGAGACAACATGGTCGATATCTTTTTTGTGTCTGTACATCCAGTGGCTGGGTCTCAGCGGTTAGCATTGCGCTTATAGGGGGTCAGTAAGTCCTGCGCTGTGATCCACGGAGGGATACACCGGTGAGCAGGCACAGACGTAGCTTGTAGACAAAACTCAGCTGTTTATTTAGCCTAGCGATATCTCCGGACTATAGTAGCTGCAATGGATGACTTTGAACACGATTTTGAAGAGTTTCTTGTAGCAGACACAGATACAGAGCCATACCTGTTTGAGCTGGAGCATACAGATGAGGAACTCCCATGTTTTGCTGCACAGAATGGGATTCAGTGCTACCATCGTTGGGGAGATATATCATCAGGAGGAAAACTGCCGCAGAGAATGCATCACAAGGAGTGAACACTTTGCAGCAATCACTAATCCTGGCATGATTGAAACATTTTTTCATGTTCCTAAGATGAACTGGAAAAAACGCCCAGGCCTGCAGGAGCTGATGGACAGCTTTCAGTTGGGTGAGTAATATCGTCCGTGTCGTCTCTTTGTTTGCTTTTACCGAGTGACCTAGCGTACCTGTCCCAGAGCCAGCTGCAGCTGTTGCTCACCGGTGTATCCCTCCGCGCAAGATGTACTGACCCCCTACAAGCGCCAAGATATCCATCATGTTGTCTCAATATGAAAATGATAGAGAAAGGGCACTCCCAAATTGTCGGAGTATTCTTTTCACATAATAATGCGGACTCAGCAGATGACTTGTTAATTGTTTATTCCTCCTCACACCAAACGCACACGGCTGCTTCTCATTGTTTCCAGTAGCACAACAAGTTACTACATTACCCAGAATAACTTGAGGCTCACACTACTACGGTAGCCTTAGTAGCTCAAAATACACAACAGCTTAGATCAGAACAGAAACACGACAGGAGAATTTACTGAGTAATTTTGCTGTTTCCACTAATTACTTGGACTGACCTGGCGTTAGTTAATCCTCTCGCTCTCCAAAACAAATGCATGCTGTAATTGCCGGCTGCAGTCGGAATTTTACGACACCAGGCTGTGGGTGTCATACCGCTTCGACCAAAGGGGCGCTATAATCAACGAAAACGAAAAGTTCCGCACAGCTGCTTTAATAACATCTTATTAATTTAATCTGATAAGGTCTTATAGTGTCTTATAAACCAGTAATAAATGTGGTTATTGTTCTATAATTAACCCTTATAAATCATAATTAATGTAAATAGACATCTTATTAATTAATATTTAGAATAGCTTTATAAACTGTTATCAAGTTTCTATTAAGTGCTTATAATGCTCCTATATGCAATAATAACTGTGTTAATTATGCTATAATTAACACTTATATAGTCTTATTAATGGTAATAAACATCTTATTCTGTCTTATAAGTGCTCATTAACTGGTTAATTGGTGCTTATTAAGCATTAATTAACGCTTATTACAGTACATTAATAGAAAGTGTTACCCTGTCTTGTAATAGGAACATATCATTGACATCATTATGGTACTGCCCTAAACCTCCACCTCTTCTGGATAACATTATTTTTAGGTTTTCATGCTCTGTTGTGAAGCAGCTGCACAGGAGATTTGGTATCGAGCGGCTCTCTCTCCCATCCTGTCCTGTCTGGTGTAATCCCATTTTATCAACTAGAGGAGGCACCATAAATAACAAAACTTGGCAGAGACATAGTATTGTAACAGTTGGTCAAATTTTTAGTGATTCTCTAATATCTTTTTTTTAACAAATTAAAAATCAGTTTGGTATTACAGACTCCTCATTTTTAATATATGCACAGATATCATCTGTTATAAATAGGAAATGTAAAGAGGGACCTATACCTGTATCATGTTTTGACTGGGATCAGCTTCTGAGGAAGGCAACCTTCTCAAAAGGCGCAGTCTCTAATATTCATAGTTTAATGTTCTGAGCTGCTCCTAACACATATTGTTCTGTCCAGCTGGTTTCGGAGCATGATCTTAACATATCTTTAACTTCTTCTCAGTGGGATAGAATCTGGAGATCAGCTTTGTACACTTCTAAATGTGTTAGATTTAGGACTATATAATATAAGATTCTGTGTAGAGCATGTATTACCCCGGTTACATAATCTAAAATGGACAACGAGTATCAAGATTCATCCTGGCACAATTGTGGAAATCGTGGTTCATTGCTTCATCAGCAGTCAAAACTGTCTGGACAGAAGTAATATCCCTAATGTCACAATTTTCAGATAGTACCTCTAACCTCAAACACAGCTGTAAGACCTAATATATATTTAGATTGCTTCTCCCCAATTTCTCTTCAAGAATTGACAGCAGTGATTTCTTCATCTAAATCATCAATGTGTCTCTTAGACCCCATCCCAACTAGGCTACTTAAGGAGGTCTTTCCTTCAGTTAACACTCATATATTAGATATGATCAATATATCCTTATTAACAGGCTATGTACCACAGTCTTTTAAGGTAGCTGTAATTAAACCTCTACTAAAAATCCCACCCTGGATCCAGAGGTGTTAGCCAACTATAGACCAATATCTAATCTTCCCTTTATGTCAAAGATCCTTGAGAAAGTAGTCGCAGACCAGCTGTGTGATTTTCTCCATGATAATAATTTATTTGAGGAATTTCAGTCAGGATTTAGAGTGCATCATAGCACTGAGACAGCACTAGTTAAAATTACAAATGACCTTCTGATTGCTTCAGACAAAGGACTTGTCTCTGTACTTGTTTTATTAGATCTTAGTGCGGCGTTTGACACAATTGACCATCAAATTCTACTGCAGAGACTGGATCACTTAATTGGCCTAAAAGGTTCTGCACTAAGCTGGTTTAAATCTTATTTATCTGATCGTTTTCAGTTTGTTGACGTTCATAATGAATCATCCTTACGTACCAAAGTTTGTTTTGGAGTTCCGCAAGGTTCTGTGCTCGGACCAATCCTATTTACTCTATATATGCTTCCTTTAGGTAACATCATTAGAAATCACTCTATAAATTTCCATTGTTATGCGGATGATACTCAGTTGTATTTATCGATGAAGCCAGAAGAAAGTAATCAATTAACTAAACTCCATAACTGCCTTAAAGACATAAAAACTTGGATGAGCACCAATTTCCTGATGTTAAATTCAGACAAAACTGAAGTTATTGTTCTTGGCCCCAAACAACTCAGAGACTCTTTATCTGATGACATAGTTTCTCTAGATGGCATTGCTCTGGCCTCTAGCACTACCGTAAGAAACCTCGGAGTAATATTTGATCAAGATTTGTCTTTTAATTCTCATTTAAAACAAACCTCACGGACTGCATTTTTTCATCTGCGTAATATTGCGAAAATTAGGCCTATCCTGACCCGAAAAGATGCAGAAAAATTGGTCCACGCTTTTGTTACCTCAAGGCTGGATTACTGTAACTCTCTATTATCAGGTAGCTCTAGTAAGTCCTTAAAAACTCTCCAGCTAATTCAGAATGCAGCAGCACGTGTACTAACAGGAACTAAGAAACGAGATCATATTTCTCCTGTTTTAGCTTCTCTGCACTGGCTCCCTGTAAAATCCAGAATTGAATTTAAAATCCTACTGTTAACTTATAAAGCTCTAAATGGTCAAGCTCCGTCATATCTTAGAGAGCTCATAGTGCCATATTATCCCACCAGAACACTGCGCTCTGAGAACGCAGGGTTACTCGTGGTCCCTAAAGTCTCCAAAAGTAGATCAGGAGCCAGAGCCTTCAGCTATCAGGCTCCTCTCCTGTGGAATCATCTTCCTGTTACGGTCCGGGAGGCAGACACCGTCTCCACATTTAAGACTAGACTTAAGACTTTCCTCTTTGATAAAGCTTATAGTTAGGGCTGGCTCAGGCTTGCCCTGTACCAGCCCCTAGTTAGGCTGACTTAGGCCTAGTCTGCCGGAGGACCCCCTATAATACACCGGGCTCCCTCTCTCTCCCTCTCTCTCTCTCTCTCTCTCTCTCTCTCTCTCTCTCTCACTCTCATCCTATTACTGCATCTTGCTAACTCGGCCATTCTGGATGTCACTAACTCGGCTTCTTCTCCGGAGCCTTTGTGCTCCACTGTCTCTCAGATTAACTCATATCGCAGCGGTGCCTGGACAGCGTGACGTGTGTGGTTGTGCTGCTGCCGTGGTCCTGCCAGATGCCTCCTGCTGCTGCTGCCATCATTAGTCATTAGTCATACTTCTACTGTTATTATACACATATGACTATTGTCACACATGTATACTGCCAGATATTAATACATACTTTCAACATATTGTACCACAGTAGCCAGAACTATAACTATAATATTATTACTTTCAATAATGTTGTTGTAAGCTACTGTCATTACCTGCATCTCTCTCTCTCTCTCTCTCTCTCTCTCTCTCTCTCTCTCTCTCTCTGTCTCATTGTGTCATATGGATTACTGTTAATTTATTATGCTGATCTGTTCTGTACGACATCTATTGCACGTCTGTCCGTCCTGGAAGAGGGATCCCTCCTCAGTTGCTCTTCCTGAGGTTTCTACCGTTTTTTTTCCCCGTTAAAGGGGTTTTTTTGGGGAGTTTTTCCTTATCCGCTGCGAGGGTCATAAGGACAGAGGGATGTCGTATGCTGTAAAAATGCTTTATTTTCTCTTATGTTGATTTTCCAGTTTTCAGCTTTGGACATTGGGTTGCCTTACTGCTAAAATATTAATTTCTTTAAACTGGCCTGGAGGACTAATGGGACATTGTCCGTAAAAGCCTTGTCTGATCATGATTGGATGTGTAGTATCAACTGTGTTTACCGGGCTAATCACTCTTCTTACGAAATGAAATGGTATAATGGAAGCACAAAACTGCCGTAGACTTTGTTGTCTATTGGATGTCAGTTGCACCCAGCCCCCCCCCCCCCTTCTTTTTTTTTTTTCTTTCTCTCCCTGTTTTTGTTGCATGTTGTCTGTTTTGGTGTATGATCAAAATAAAAATAAAAATTCTTAAAAGCAAAAAAAACTCCACAATATACATATGAAGACAGGTACGTGCACAGAGGGGAAGCGTCTGGAAACCATCATATCACAAAAAGCACAGCAGAGTACTGCTCCACTGTAAACCACACATTGATAATTACTCTGAGGTGGTTCAAAGATGATGTCCATCCTCAGCTCATATATCAGTCATATGTGATGTTGTCAGGCTCTATGGACCACTCCCATGTGATTGTCTTTGCTGATGTGGCTAGTTAGCTTGTTTACGAAAAGCTTGCTGTACAGGCTGTCCCTGCCACAGCTCATTACCATGACAGCTGGGTTGTTGGGATACAATGCATTCAGCCTTGTTGAGGTAAGAGTAGAGTGGGTGGGGACAGGTGCTCTTACATTGATTTCGGTCACTAGGATGTCAGTGATGCTGCCCAACACTGTGACAAAGTCAAACACGTTCCAGGCATCCTTTAAGTAGTTCTGATGAAGCAACAGTAGAAAATTATTAGTTGTTTTTTATTATTCAGGATATTTGAAGTTGTTTAATAAATGTTACCTACCAATGGACCAAAAGCAATGATCTTGAGGATACACTCCAGAGAAAAGAGAGTGGTGAAGACTATGTTGAGGTTCTTCAGCATCGCTTCATAAAAGTCTGGCGCTCCGTGGAACTGAAAGACAGGGGCAAATGATTACTTTTCCTTTCTGTCATGTGGCACTGCTTAAGGACTAGTTTGACATTTTGGGAAATAAAGCTTATTCACTTTCTTGCCGAGAGTAACATCATAAGATCAATACCACTCTCATTTCTGTCTGTTTAGTGTGAACTACAGCAAGCAGCTAGTTACCTTAGCTTAGCTCCTGGCCATCACAAATTGCTTTTACAATTTGGTTATGTATGGATGTTATCTTTGGACAGAGGTTGGCTAGCTGTTCCCTCCAGTCTTTATTCTAAGCTAAGCTAACTGGCTGCTGGTTGTAGCTTCATATTCACTGTACAGACAAGAGAGTTGTATGAATCTTCTCATTTAACTCATATGTTGTACATGTATGAGTGTTTATTTCAAAATGTCAAACTATTCCTGTCCTGATCTAATGTCTCCAGGACTGACTTTATGTAACAGTCAATAAAGTCTGACAAATTATATTCATTTGGCATTGTATTATTTATGTCTTCTTCAAAGGTTCTTACCTTCATCATGAGTACCACAGTATTAAGAGCGATCATGATCATGATGGAGTACTCAAACGGAGCTGAGACCACAAACTTCCACATCCTGTACTGGAAGGAGTGCGTGTTCTCGGGCATGTAGCGTGTCAGAGGTTTGGCGTTTATGGCAAAGTCAATACAAGCCCGCTGTAATAAAGAAACCACAGCTCTGCTTTACTGTCTTTGTTATTTGATAAGAACTGCTAATCAGACATCAGTCCTGAAAGCATACGTTTGCTTTTGATCATTAAAAATATGTGAGCAGCTGGAAACTAAAATGGAAACTAAAATGGATCACTTTTGACAAAAACAGTACATAATTTGTGATTTTACTATCTGTGGATAACTGATAACTAATTAGTGAACATATATTTTGGTCCCAGGTGCTGTTATGGTTGAAAAACTGGATCATCATTTAAGTCCCCCTCCACTCAAAATGTGTTTTTCTTTTGTTTATGTTCCCTAAAATGTCCGACCTTGACTATACTGATTTCTATCTGTGCAGTTTGTTACTACTGAGGTGTTTCCACATTCCTCTCCTGAAGGGGGCGATGTCTGTGCACTCCCCTTAAAGGAGCTATATGTAAGAAATCTAAAGCAAATAGTTGTAAAATCATCCTAATATGTCACAGAAACTAAGGAATAATGTTAATATAACATACTGATCTCACCAACAACAATAGTACAGCCAGAATATTCACACTTTAAAAAATTTTTTTACAGTCTGCAAATCATGTTTATGTTTTGAATTTGTGTTTTGGCCTGTTGAGCCACCCACCGCCGTCTACCAGTCACGCAGTCAGTAGAGTCTCAGCATCAATTACAGTTACGACTGAGCTACAATGGCTGACGGTGCGACTAAACCCAAACGACCTCGTTATGATACCCAAAAACACCAAGACAAAACTTGAGGCAAAGTGAGGATCTACATGTATAGGAGATGCTTTTCAACAGTGGAGACAGTTGAAAGCGGAGAAGAATTTGAAATCGGATGTCGAAGTGGCTACTCCTCGACAGGTAAGCTTTAGCCAAAGTTGGCTAATTAGCTTCATAGCTAGATGGGGATGGACATTTCGAATACTTTAAACTGTTATTCATTTTCAATACATTGTAGCCCATGTGCAGGTGGGTCATCGACCTGACTGATTTTTTTGGAGAAACAAACGGTAGCAGCACGGCAAGCAGCATTAGCAGTGTCCCGGTACATAGCATTAGCAGCCGGCTCCTCCTCCGCTTAATCCCAGCAGCAGTGTTAGCAGCAGAGAAGCCGGACTTGCTCAAACGGTCTGCTGGAAAACCGAAGATCAAGGACGCGGCAACGCGGCCCTGCCACGGCAGCCGCCGTGGGCAAACAAATCAGTCTCCAGCGTGCTGCTGTCCAGCAACCTCAAATCTGTAGGGGAGGGGGGGCAGACACGACACGCAGCAGTATTTTGAATTTGAGTGCAGTAACTGTTTTGGCCACATTCTTACATATGGTGCCTTTAAATCTGTGATTCTAATGTACATAGGCAAGCTAGATTAGTTACATCACTAATACAAAAGACAATGTCTAATACGGAAAACACATATTGGTGAATATGTGGTTAAAAGACAGAATAGTTTATTCTGCGCATGTAATTACAAAAATAAAAACGAGCTAAATCTTTATATCGTACACTAACTTAACATGAAAATCATAAATTATAATGCAGTAATAAGCTATATTCATTTATATCCAATCCAGTGTTTTGTTTTGTTTTTGGGCTGGAGTCCTCTTTAAGCCCAGCAGGTAAAACTGTACAAATAAAGATAAACACACACACTTATTGTCTGCTTAACAATATAATATAAACTACACACAAAAATGTCAACTATACATGTGTATCATGCTTTATGTCATTGCAATGAACTATATTATGCAGCCACTGTATAGATGGAGCATGTGGTCTGTTTGCTAGCATGCTAAAACTTTTTTTGATTAAAAAAAATATATATTTACAATTAAATTAATATTCTTACATATGTCTTATTCAAAACACAATTAACTTTAAAAATGTAAGTAGATTGTGAACTGTACTGTGAATTGTGAGAACATGATTACTTAGCAAAACCAGGAGCAGAAATGCAAAGTGTTATCTTCTAAGTGTATCAAAATCACTAGTTTTATTTTGTAACTTCTTCTGGGATCAGCAGGCACATGACACACGTGTGCCGATAACTCAATATCCACTAATCTGCCGTCACTGCCTGTATTTTCAGTAAAAATAGAGTGTGAAAATGGTCTTTTGATAATTGTACCACTTTTCACCACAAATTTATTGTTTACATCTGTCACAAAGATGAAAAATATATATTATTTTTAACTCAAAACTCCCTGTTTCCATTTCAGCATTAAACCTACTGACAATATAACTGTGGGCAGAACCTCTTATTTGTTAAAAAAAAAAAAAGGCTTTTTATTGTGCAATACTTGCAAGACCTTGCAGTGGCTTGCACAGCTCCATAAGATAGTGAAGTACCAGCTTTTAATTGTGGTATGGTATTCCACCAATTTATGGAGGCTCTGAGGAAGTGCCACACTGTGGCCATGAAGTAACACTAGCCATCTTGATGTGCACTGCTCTTTCATGCCCAGGCCATGCTGCGTTTCTGAGCAGCACTTGTGTGTTGTGGAACCTCTTTTTTCAGTGCTCCTGTAAAAAGGTTATGCCAGGGCCACACTGCCTGGCTGACGGTTACCTGGCTGCACTGCTTTGCTGCCTGCCAGCTGCTATAATTACGGTATTTCCACAATTAACAAAACGGTACTCCACAAAAGTATGGAATCACACAAGCCACTTTATTTTTTAAAAACACAGTCCTGCAAATATACCACAAAACAAAGTCTTATGTTAATAAATGAAATGGTTCTGTAGACAAAAAACATTGCCAGAAAGCTGGAACCTGTGGCCTCGTACCTATGACCGAATCACAGCCGTGACGATATACGAGTATAACATCACTCCCTCTCATGTGATATTGCTTAAATATATATATATATATATATATATAGCT